GCTGGGCTGGGCTGGGCTGGGCTGGGCTGTCTTGTCTTCAACGGGCAGGGCCAGGCGGAACGCGGTAAGGAAGAAAGGGAAAGAAAGAAAGGGAAAGGGGAAAGAATGGAAGGGAAAAGAAAGGAAAGGGAAAGAAAGGAAGGAGAAAGAAAGGGAAAAGAAAGAAAAGGGAGGAAGGCAAAGAAAGGAAGGGGAAAGGAAGGCAAAGAAAGGAAGGGGAAAGGAAGGCAAAGAAAGGAAGGGGAAAGGAAGGCAAAGAAAGGAAGGGGAAAGGAAGGCAAAGAAAGGAAGGGGAAAGGAAGGCAAAGAAAGGAAGGGGAAAGGAAGGCAAAGAAAGGAAGGGGAAAGGAAGGCAAAGAAAGGAAGGGGAAAGGAAGGCAAAGAAAGGAAGGGGAAAGAAAGGGAAATAAAGGGGAAAGGAAGGAAGGAAGGGGAAAGAAGGGGAAAAAAGGGAAAGAAAGGAAAGGGAAAGAAAGGAAAGGGAAAGAAAGGAAGGGAAAGAAAGGAAGGGGAAAGGAAGGCAAAGAAAGGAAGGGGAAAGGAAGGGGAAAGAAAGGGAAATAAAGGGGAAAGGAAGGAAGGAAGGGGAAAGAAGGGGAAAGAGGGAAAAGAAAGGAAAGGGAAAGAAAGGAAAGGGAAAGAATGGAAGAAAGGAAGGAAAAGAAAGGAAAGGGGAAAGAAAGGAAAGGAAAAGGAAGGGTAAAGAAAGGAAGGTAAAAGAAAGGGGACTCCAAGTCTGCTGTTTTGGATAACCACCACGGACAAAGAACAAGCAATACTGCATGAGCTCAGAGAAACCAGGAGTCCAAGTAGCGTGTAGGATTCTGGTTCATTTATTGAGTACATGACATAAGACAGACAGACTGTGTAAAATTACATGTATTATTTGTACTTTAAAAAATGACAATAAATTACTGAATAATTAGTAAAAGCAGTTTGACTAATGACTGCTCTCCAGTGATGCAGGACACAGGAGGCAGAGAAAAATGTACCAGCTGCGAATACATACAGACTGTCACAAGGAGGAATTAACACCGAGTAGCACGCCAAGTAGTGTTAAATGGGAACATCCAACTGTACGTGTCCTTCCCATCCTTCACATTCCGAATCCCAGCCAACAGCCGTAGCAAACTTGCCTTTGGTGAGGGCTTAGCTCCCACTCCCACCCTGCAAGGCAGATGCCTGTGTACTGAGATGAATTTGTCTGTAGGAACAGCATTAATTCTCCATCCTCGGAGCACATGCCCTACTACCAGAAGGCTGACTCTTAGTTTCTTCTGGTCTTAACTGATCTAAAAGAGCAGTCACTCAGTCTCCCAGTTATTTTGTCTCTAACTGGAAAAGAGATCTAGTCTAGTATTGAGGTTTCCCATACAGGGCTGATGGCAGAGGGCCATGCTGCTTTGAATTCTTCCTCTTTAGGTATAAATGCCCTTCGATGAGTAGAAATTTCTAAGAGTGTCCCCACTGCTGGACTCAGGAGATGCTCAGGAAGGACACGCTGAGCAGCTGCAGGTGACACAATGCTCCTGCACATCTTTCTGCCCGAGGGATTTGCAAGGGCTGACTTACCAGACTATTCTTAGGGGTCCTCCTAAAAGCTAGACCCATCATTAGCTAGTAAAAATGGAGAGTGGACAAGAAACAAGGGATGTTTCCTGTACTGACAGGAAAGTCCAGCATACCAGCGTGCCACTGCCCTGTAACTCTGAGGCTGATTCATGGCCTGCTAATTTAGGAACTTAGTCCCTCACTATAACCATCATAAGCCCATTGATTGACATAGTATTACTTCTGCACTGAAGTCAAGGAGCTTGTGCCTTCCCAGACAAACTAAACCCAATGGATTTCAAAGGATTAGAGAAGCAAATGCTAGAAAACCAGGTTTGTCTGAAAACTCCTGAATGCTGAAGGAGAAAGTGATCATACACTATGAAAGAAACCTGCAGACCTGAGAAATGTCCATGTTTAGATCTGAGGGTGCCAGGAGCAGTGGGGCAGGTTTGCACTAGAGCTGCTGAGTCACAGAACAGCACTGAAGAACTTACAGGACTATTTATAGGTCAGGGTCCTACAGCACTTGACTACACTGCATTAGCTCTCAGGTTGGCAGCCAGCGGTGAACATGGTTTCAAGCCAGGCTGCATCTGCTGTGCAAGTTACCCAGGAACCTACAGCAAACGAGGGCAGGCAAGGAGCAGTTACTGTCTGAAATAAAACTTCATTAAAATAAAGGACAGCAAAAGGCAGACATGCGCAATTCATGGTGGTAATTCTATATGTCAGGGGCTATTAGGTTCTAATGGCTCTCGAGAATATAAATCTAATTCCATCAGCCAGAGTAGCCAAAGCAGCACCTACAAAAAAGTCACTGTCAGAAGCCCCTTATCAATTGGAATCTATTGTAATTGTGTAGTTACTGGTCTCTGATTAAACAAAAAAGTTCCCAAACACAAAATGCTAAACCATTCTGCCATCTGCCACATTATCTCCCTGTTGCATCTCCCAAAGGCAATTCCTGCTTTCTCCAGTTCACCCTGACACGGAGGAAAGTTCATAATCACTGGATGAACTGAACTGCCTCTCTACCTTCTTCTGATCTTTGATCTTTTGGAGAATGTTGACTTTTTTCTCAAAGTAGTTTACAAGGGCTGCTTCCGTCAGCATGGAAGCTAAGATCTGCTCAAAGGAGATAGACCAGTCAGTGTCAATGGTGCTGCCATACCTGGCAGCTGAACTGCTGCCTTCACAACCAACCAGGACTGTGTCATCTGCAATGTCTTCACACTGCAGGGAGCCTGTGCTGACCATGGAGTAGGAAGACATGGACATATCATCTTTGGTTTCATCATCTGATAGCAGCTGTAGAGGAGAGCTTTGTCCTTCCCCTGACACATCTCCTAAAGTTTGGTTCTCCTGCTGCGGTTTTTCAGGCTGAGCATCTCTGCAGGTTTTGTCCTCATGGTCAGCTTGGGGTTGCTGCTCAACTGCTGAATTCTGACTCTGTTCAGATGTCGGTGACTCCTCTTCACTCACAGGATCTTGGGTATTGTTTGCTTTGCAGTCCTCAGACTTCCTGATGGGCCTGTTGGAGAACTTTTTCCCAACCTCCCCAATTCGCAGAAGGAGGCTGGCTACAGTGGCAATTGCATGGTACAGCTCTTGCTCCACTGGGTCCTCACTGAACATGTTGTAAAGGGTCTTGCATAACTCTATGAATTGTTCCTTTAAAGGACAAAGACCAAAAAAAAAAAAATATCACACTTCAGGCTGAAAAAAAGCTGATGAAGTGATGAAGCTGAACAAAGTGACAGAATAAGCAACAGGCACCATCCTGACTGACTCCTTGTTTATCTGGCTCCCCACCAAGTAAGTGGCAATTTGCTGTACTGATTCAAAACAGTCCAATGCAGGCAAACTCCTCCCTCTGCTGTAGTGGCTAAATGGAGACACAGCTAGCAATTTAATAGTGGTGGGTTGTTTTTTTCCTCCTGACAAATGAAAGAGCACTCACATGTGTACATCTGAGAAAACCTAAAGTTTTACTTCTGTCCTGCTACTCTTTTGTGGTCAGCTTGTAAGCATTTCCAAACTGGTTTAACTAGCACCCATCAAGGAAATCAGAGACAGAAAAGATCACACCAGTCATAAGACTCTCTTTCCTATAATCACATTCTTTGCTCTCCACCAAGCAGCTGTAACTTGAGGCAATGCAAAACCAAAAAAGCCAAACAAGTTTATATGACTGAAGGCGTATCTGAAATGGCTCTGGAGGGAAAACAGAGACTGCAGTTCTTACAGGAAAAATGGTTCTGGGAGGCAGAGAGGATCAAATACATTTGATTGGTGGAAACAAAGCAGTTTGCCCATGTCCACTGGGAAATTCAACAGAAACATGTGGAATTAGAGGCTTTTAAAGCTCACCAGACCAGAAAAACAGGGTAAACAGCAGGCAAAGACAGAGCATCCTGGCAAAATCACTGCACATACTGCTGAATTCCCCACTAAGCTGTCAGACACCTAATTGGAAACCTTCACATTCGCTTCTTACCTGGCTCATTTTGGGGAGATCTTTAATGGTTTCTTTCTTGGACTCTTTTTCCTTCGCCCACATTCTCAGGTAGTATCTGTAGTCCTGTGGACTGGTACCTTTCTCCTCTGTAATGCAAGAATAAGCCACTATAGTCAGGTGGTTAATGGTTACAGGCTTCAAAAGTGAACGCTGTGCCAGCAAAAATCATGCTGGAAGCAGGTTTTACTGACAGTTCAGGAAAGCATTTACCAGGAAGGCTGCTTTGTTTTCTGCTGGTTTATTTGATCCAGCTCAGTAGAGCAAAATGTTAATACTGCTGCACCAGCCTGATTTCTCATAAACGAACTCTATGAGCTGACAACTCGCCAAACATCAATTACAAATGTTATGCTCTTGGTGTGTAAAAGTCAGAGCAGCAAGGCGTGAGAGAGGTTTATTTCCCAGCTCATATCCCACTCTACCTCTGTCCACAAGTGACACTTTGGAAGGTCTCCTTGATACAGCAAAGGACAATGAACAGTTCATAACAGGAGAGAGACAAGACTAGAATGTGGTCTGTTGATGATGAAATTACCTTTTTCAGGACCATTCTCATTTCTCCTTCCTTTATCTTCTTGGGCTTCTAAAAAAATACGGAATTAGAAAAGCATGGTTAATAGCTAATTTTCAGCAATACAGCACAGGGAGAACATAAGACAACTCAGTATACAAATTCAAATCGTACATTAATGTATTTCATATTAGCTTAGATCTCACAGTCCCACATCACGTTTGGATGAGTGAACAGAACAGGATGGAAGCAAGAGGATGATGGGATGAACTGGGTAAAAAGCCACACTGAGAATGTGGATTGAAGAGCTGAAGTAGAGGGCAGAACTCTTAAGAGGGTGAAACACAGAGTTTAACTTCACAAACTTTGCTTCTGCTTCCCTATATTGTGACCAGACTATACAGGAAGTCTTGGCTCAACTCAGACTGTTCAGTTAGTCACCCAGCACCAAACAGTACAATTACCCCTTGTACTTACTCACTCAGGTTTTTATTTTTGGAGCATTATTACATTTTGGTAAACATTCAGCACAACTGATGTATTCTGACCTCCTATTTGACAATCCCTAAAATCGTGTTTTAAGAAATACAGTAAATTAGTCTACTAGCAGTTTTACAATTCAGTGGCATCAATCATTATTCCTTTAAATTAGAAGATCGTGAAGTAGGCACAAGTACCATCTACCCAGGTCAGCAGCCCCCATGCTCTGCTCTGAGCTTATTTTCCACCTGCCAATTTCTAGGGTGAGATAAATTCCACTGAAAAAAGAGATGAACAAAACCTATTTTGACCCATCTTGAAACTCAATAGTTAGAATCTACTAAAAGGTATCTAACTACTCACAGCATTTTATTCATAGTGGGAGTGTTGTGAAAGAGGAGCAGCAGCTACAACTTCAGAGTATTTAAAATAGCTCACTGGTGTGAGCAGATGATATCAGCATGATAGCCATGCTCAATGCATGCACATAATCCATGGACTGACCTTGAGACTCACAGTGCAGGCAGAAATCCAGCTCTGAGACAAAAGGAGATACTTGAGCAGCAGAAAAAGGGGTTGAGGGGACAATATTCCAGATAAAAGAGAAGAAAAGGCCAGACATAGACAGACACAGAGAAGGAAACAAAAACAAGAAGAGAGAGACAATGAGACTTGCGTGAAAATCCTAAATCATGGTGGGAGACAGGGGCTGGTAAAAGCACACTGCTCCTCCTCAGCAGTCTGTGACTGTGCTTCAGAGCATGCTGTGTCGTGCATGAAATGGGTTCTGAGGAGTTTAAGTTCCAAAGTTCTTTCCCATTATGCAACAAAGACAGCAAGTTCACATACTCTTATTGCCACCACAAGACACTGCTTTGCACAAAATCACTATTCACAGCACATGGATTTATGCTGCAACTCCTGCCTAAACTGAGAGGTAAAGACAGCAGTGTTGTATTACCTTCTGTTGTAACATCCTCTGTGAAATAACTTGTGGCCTCCAAAGCAGACTCTGTCTCCTCTGGGTTCAGAGCTGTACTTACAGAGAAGGAAACGTTAAGATCTCTAAGCTAATTGAACAGCAGTTAACACCCACTTCATTAGCAAAATTCACGAGGCATCCCTTTTCAACGGCATGTCAGCACACACCATGCTCAACAGTAGCAGTGTAGAGAAGCAATCACTCACCAGGTGGCAGATGCAGTTTGTAGAGTACTTTGAGTTTCTCAGTGAGGTCACCATGGTACATCCCACCTGCAAAGAAAAAAAAGCAAGGTTAAGAAAAACAGCCTTTAGGATACAGAATCTCCCTCTGCTCACAGGCACAAACCAGAATGAGTTCACATGCAACGAGGAAATGATAACTGCACAAAGCCCTGTGCAGAAGCCGTAAAGAAATCCACAGCAAAGCTGCATCTTGTTTTGCCAACTGTTTCCCAAAACAGGAGACAGCCTAGCAGCAAAAAGGCGTCTTTTGTTCTCCTGAAGCTTCCTGTAAGGCAGCCACCCTCCCCTTGCGACAGTGCAAACACCACTATCTCCTTTCAGTTCTCTGCTTGGAAAAGGACAGAAACCTGTTTTGCAATATTCTATCACCTCCAAAACCCAGCACTTACTCATCCCTGTCACAAACTCCTTGAAGTTAATGAGAGAATCCCTGTTCTCATCCAGAAGCCGGAACAAACGCCCCGCTAGCACCGGCGTATGCGCGCCGCAGGACCAGGGGGTCAAAGCGATGAACAGCTCTTTGAACTGCTCCATGTCGATGCGATACTGCTCCAGGTAGGGTAAACTCTGATCCCGGCGGGCAGCTGCAGCACGGTTATTGCCCCAGTAACAGCTCATCAGATACTTTGCCTTTGGAGGGAAAGGATTAAAAGGTGAGATTATACTACACTACAACCATCCAAAGGAGCGGAGACTTTGTTGTAGCTCAAGAATAGCATCAAGAAAGCAAAGGAAAGACATTCCAGGACACAGAGTTTATCTCCCCCATTACTACTATTACTTCATTATAAAATAATATAAAATGAAGGAAGAGACAGGGCTTCTGTGAAAAGCACAAAGAACAATTTTAAGTGAAAAATACAAACCCCATTATTTCAGGTTTGAACAAAATTACACTCAGGCTTTACTCTAACAGGTTTTAGAACTAAGCCTCTCTTTCTCAGCCTACAGCACGATGCAACTGAGTTTGCAGTGACTCTGGTAAATGGAGTTGGGTAATATCACTCCTTTTAAAAAAAACCACTGACAAACAGGCAAAGCACTTAAGTAATTTTGTCACAATTACAGATCAAGTCAATGGCAAACTTGAGAATAAAAATTGAGGTACAGTCAATCCTAGCTCCCCATTCTAAGTGCTGTGTGACGTTCCTTTCATTGACTCCACAATCTCTTCCTGAATAAGTATCATTCAAATACTGTGAATGTGTTTTGGCTATCTTTGGGGGAAAAATAATAATCAACCAGGAAATAATAGGGCCAGTCTTACTGGCACCATGTGGAACAGAGTAACACATCTGTTTCTGACAGGCTGGATTAAAAATCAAAGCAAAGTCATTGCTTCCCTTTCAATTTATTTTGCTATTTGTTCTCTCTGTGTCAGAACACATTCTTCCTCACTCCAGCTTCTTACCTTGAACACCACATACAGCTCTTCTAGTTCCTCAATAGAGAAACCAATGTCACCAGACACAGCTCGAACCTATAGTTAGGGAGAAAACAGAGTGAACATTTTACTTCAAAGCCAGAAAAATCATGTATGACTCATGGAAAAATCTTTGTAATATAGAAGAGAAAAAAACAAGCGCAAGGTGATACGACACAGGATGGGAGCGAAAACCATTCTAATACATCCTGTTGCTATGAATTATATGTCAGGAAGACAGTTTCTGGTCATGCAGAACCTGCTGACATTTTGAACACCTAGAGAAAATCGCTGCACTTACTCCCTGTTTGTGCAGGGACCTGACTGTGCAGACTGTGTTGCCCCTGCCTCTTGCTTTTATCTTCAGATGCTTGACTCAGATGTATTGAAAAACAACAGTGAAAGAAAGACATGGATGAGACTCTTCACCTAGGACATGGCAGATAATTGCAATAGATACGGATACTCCCCTTTGGCCATGCACTAGCATAGTCTTTAAGTGGCAGGTAACTAACTACCTGATGGCTTTTCTCAAAGGTTCCAGGCAAGTAATGAAACAGACAGTACTAGTTAGTGGAGACTATTAGAAGGCCTGCAAGTGGTGTTTATCTCCCTCCATGCCAAATATCTCCTTCAATCATGCCCTAGCACTTCAATCCACTTAACTAGATTAAATAGAACCATGTGAAGTAAGAAAACTGAAAATATGTTATTACAGCCAGTAAATCCATTTTTCACATGAACTGCAATTCTTTAAGTCACTCAAAACTAGATTTGCTACAGTGCAAACTTTCTAGATGCTTACAGCAAAACACATTGCATTAATATGCCATCTGGTAGCTCATTCAATCTGGGAGTCACATACCACACTCTTCTTGGCTGTATCCTCCAGAGACTGGATCACTTTCAGCCTTTGTTTAAAACGCATTTGTTCAATGTCATCTGCCTTCAGATTGCTGAATTTCTACAAGAAAGGAAGCAGACCAGGTCAGCATCATCTCCTAAAGAAAGAACAACCCCTGTTCAATTACATGGTCTTTAACACGTGTACTACCCCTCAGAGATGCTCTAACCCCCCTAGAAGCCTTTTACCAGCAGCAAGAAGCTGAGATAAAACTTGAGCTCTATTCCCTATTTACTCCTGTCCTGGAAGAGAAGTCATGCAGAATTCATGAGAAATCCAGCATGAGAGGTTTCTAAAGAACAGCTGAAAAAGCATCTGTCAGGCCTGACAGAAATACAGATCCTGTACTGAGGTGGAGATAAGAGTACAGACAGGTTGGCATTCCTTCCAGACATGTTCTTTTCTAGGACCCATATGAGATTCAGCTAGAAACACCAAAGTTGAGAGGCTTTTCTACTGACGAGGTCGGACAAGTAAGATGAATTTGGTGACATTTTCTTATAAAAGAAATCAAGGAGAGAGATGGTAGATTTGAAGAAAGAAACAAAATAACAGCAAAATGACAGCTGCCTGACTGTAAGCAGCTGGAAGGGGACAGGATGAAAAACAGGAGATAAAAAGGGAAATGAACCCACATTTACCAAAGCATAGCAGAGGAGAACTGTCAAACACCAGTTCTTTTAACTGTGTTCTTTCCATCAATCATTTACCAATCTCTTACGAGTTTGTTCTCAGTATGAGTAATGAATATTTCCACCAATGCAGAGGTATTTCAACCACATTGGCATCGTTCTCACGTCACCTTCTTATTTCTACAATGTGGATCCCAGAACAGGATTCCTGTGCACATGAACTGGGATGCTTCCATGTTTCTGCAGTATATCTCATGATTTTTATCCCTAATTTGCTTCCCCGACTCCATAGCACTGACAATCCTCAAATATGAGTAAGAAAGGGTGCTTTTTTAGCAAAGCAGGCAGAAATCTCTGGTATGCACTTTTACTTATTTGCAATCTTCAGCTTAATCTCCACTGGTGTTGGGAAGACTCCTTGTAATCTGCAGTATCCAGCAGTGTAAAGTCTCTACTCACACCAAGCACCTGGATTCATGGCTTGAGCCTGCACTTGAACACATCAAGCTATGAACATTATTCAAATTTGGGCTGCACAAAGTAAGAAACTGGATGTTAGTGGAGAAAAATCTCTTGAGCAAAAACTAAGCCAGAACCTTACCTCATAGGATGTTTTGATGAGCTCAAAGATGTCGATTTCCAGTGGCGGGTCATCTCCACTCGTCAATAAGGCGTGCAAGTGGGGAATAGGAGGAGAGACGCTCTGTCTGTTAACTACATTATCCAAATACCTGCGGGGAAAAAACCAGAAGAGATGCAAGACTCCAGGATTAGTGTCCAGGAAAAGAAGTCACATCCTAAACACGTAATTCCCAACTTCTTTGTATCATTTATCTAAACATGCAGGGCAATTTAATTTTTCCCAGCTAACCTGCAGTGCTACCCTCAATGAATCTGAAGTTGATTTTCTCCCTATTTTGGGGAGTTTCTATTCTTTTTAAAGTGAGCTTCTAGTTGTAAGCTGAAGATCTTATTGCACGTAGAAGAGATTCACATTTCAAACAAGAAAAATACTGTATTTACTAGATTTGGGAGATATCTGCTTGATAAAGTTTTGTTATCCAGGCAATTCCTGCCAGGATATGTTCTTAACATAGATTAGAATTAGTCAGTGCATTTCAGATAAACAACCCTTTGGAGTTCCAATTTGAACTGAGATGCAGGGATGCATCCTGCTGCAAAGCAAACAATTCCAGAAATATGGGATTCCTCCACACTTGAGCTAAAATTCAATTTCAGGTCTTGTAGAAAGCACTAGCAAACCTCTCTGGAGCTCAAGTTTCAACCTAGAGTGTTATCTGTGACCTGCTATGGAAAGGAATTAAGTAGGAAGAGATGATGACTAAAAGGGTACCATTACTACTCAGTTATAAATAAGAACACTGAGTGGTACCTGCCCAGAATAGTCATGGCTTCACCTTCATCACAGCACTGTAACAACTTCTCCATGTTGGCATCAAGTATGGCCAATGACACTTGTAAGATGAACTTGATCCCCTCATAGAAAAAACAGTCAACAATGACCACAGCACTCTCAAAGGGCATGACACTGAGAAAGAGAGTGAGAAACCAGGAAAGGGATATGGTGGAAATCACTCCTAGGTCCTGCATCTTTTCTGACAGCTGTGGCAGATACTCTCGTGTAAGTTCTTCAAAGATGCCTTGGTCCACCAAGGCACCTGGAAAACAAGCACAAACAATGGCAGAATTCAAACTGGTGGTATCATGGTACTATACCCAAGCTAATCAATTATTAAACAAAATAGCATGAGTTCACTTCAATTTCATATAAGCCTCTTAACAGCAGAGTGAAAACTGACACATTTATTTAGATTTGTCTCCTCAATAAAGCCAACATATTTAGAGAGATAAAACTCCTGCACTGCAGAGCATGCAGAAACAGAATCTCCCATTGATCTATGCATTTTCCCTGAAAGGAGGGGTGGAGAACTACTAATATTATGGTATTTACATCAAACTGTACTCTTTATACAGACCAACTTTAAAAGCCCATGTAGCAGAGCTCTCACTTGACCCTTCCTGGGAGCCTATTCCAAAGACTTAATAAACCATTCAGATGGGTAAAAAATAACCCAATAGTTTTCTTCTAGATATGCCTCCTTACTGCTAATGGTCCCTCGTGCTACCAATTTTTAGTCACTTCATCTTCCTTGTTACTTCAAGGTAGAACTACACCTTGGTAGCCTGTAGTGTCTCTTCTTACATCTCCATTAAACACCTGCAACTTTAAAGGTTGTGCTTCCTTATCTTTAAAATGCCTCACATTTAATTCATTCAAAATGTTCCTGAGAGATACTGGTGCAGCTGAAGCTGAAAATCCAGGCTCCAGCATGAATTTGACAAAGACTCACCCACTACTCTTGTGTTGTAGTAATCTGGCAACATCCTCTCACATAAAGCCACTAGGAGCCAGAAAGCCTCTTCCTCATTGCAGTACAGCAACAGCACCGATGTAACAATGTTCATGGCCTACAAGCCAGCAGAGTCAAATACACAGAAGAATGAAACATGAAGATGTTCATGAAAGCTCTGTCATTACAGACCAGCTAAACTTAAAAAGCATGAATACAGCAAAACTGTCACTAAGAGTCGCATCTATTTCCAGCTTTTACTGTATCTGAGTCACAGATGACCTTGAGCCAATTTACCTTCCTGTTTCAGTTCCTCTGTTTGTGAGGCAGCAAATAATACAACTATTCTTTGTAGATTTAGATCAATCAGTGTGACTAACTACAATTTTCATAGTTTTCATAAAAAGCTTTATAACAATTTGATTGTAACAGAACAACATAACAGAACGTTTAATACCAGAGCAATACACAAAATGAATCTGAATTTCCTCTGAGCTGTTTCACAAATAAACAACTGGCTTGGTTGTCAATGTACTGCCCACATTCATCATCACTTACTTGATTTAACTGCTCTTTTTCATGAAACCATTAGATGTTTTTCCTGAGCTAGGGGAAGCTCTAGCAGGAAAACTTATAAAAGACTTTCATTACACATAACAGAAATCTGCAAAGTCTATTTAAATGCTGTATCCAAGGGATAGTTAAGAGATCTTGCAACATAACCACTATTCCTGCTCTCACACCACCACTTAGACAGCATGAAGGAAAAGCTTGAAAGTGAACAAAAAACTGCAGTAAAAGTCAAGTCAGTCATGGTCACCATGTAGAACTAGTAAGTCTAAGGCTTCTTTCTTACCTGACAGTACCCAATTGTTGGATTTCTGAATGCATAAGCTGTTAACACTCTGCGGAGGGCAGCAATTCCCAGCTCATTCTGGAAGGCAGGATGCTCTGGCATAGAACGGTGCAGATCTCTCTCAATTTCTTCTGTTGCAAGATTGTACTTTCCCATTGACTTTTCCACAAGATCTGCATAGTAACCAGGATGAGTCACCATCTCATTCCAAGCCCCTGTAATGACAAATAAATACTGCTTCACCTCTTGAGCTGTAGAATAGAGATTTTATGCCCACAGTTTCAGACATGAGGCAGCCAGGAAGCACTGCATGAATTCATTAGCTACAAATAGATACGATAGTAATAAACTCACTGTGAAATCATCATGTTAAGAGTCTAGGTCCCAACACAAATGCAGACAAAATAAGCTAAAGAGCTACTGCACTCATAAAAACCCGTAATCTCAGGAATGTGATCACTGCATTTTTGGCAACACCACCATGAAATGTATCACTCAGATGGGAGTTAACTTGTGATTAAGATTTTTACCTTTTCCTTTGAGATGTGCAGAAAGCTTATTCTTACTAGCTGTCAAAGTATCCAGCACAACATCCTACCTGAGAAGAGGAGCCACAGCTCCCCACGAAGGTTCTCTGGGATTCCTTTTTGCACCAGCTCCCTCGTCTTGGCAGTGCGATACATACACATCCCTCGCCCATACTCAAAGAAATGGATATTCCAAGACTCTTCTTTCATCTTCTCCTTTGCCTTCACAGAAACAAACATGGCCATTTGAGGACATAAATGCATTTTTATGTGTGTAGGACAGATGATTTCTGGGTATACTCAGGCCTACACTTCACAAGAGAAATGCACTGCACTGTGAGATTTGAA